ATGTCCTAAATGTTCTTTTCACAGGAGCATACTTGGACCACCATTTCTGTTCTTTGAATTTTTATGATAAAGTCAAGTTATTAACACTCTTTGTAATGAAAATTTTCCTACTAACCTTTAAAGGACAGATTCTGAGGATGAAACACAATGTTAGAGTCCTGCTCATTTGACCTTCAGCCTCTCTGAGCCTGTTGGCAAGGAGGTTGTGATGGAATCACCTAGTTGCACTGGATTGAGAATATCAGCATCTGTTGTGTATGGGTCATCTCAGGGCAATGCTGTCCTGGGATGTGTTTGGCCAGTAGCCTAGATGATGAACCACATTGCTCCTATCAACCTTTTTGAGCTATTCTATCTCTCAGGCATGTAGGATATTATTGTTCACAGGAAGCTGAAGTTACACTGGTCAGTCTGCATGCAGCTTTTTGGGTTTTTTTGCATATGAATTCTCTGCAGAACCTTTTTCTCCTTTTGATACTTCAGCTTTAGTATTTTCCCTTTAACATTTCTTTTTGAAGATGGCCGCCCCCTGTACATACTTCGCCTTGGGCAGATGGATACAAAAGGTTTGGTGAAGGCCCTGGGAGAAGAGTCACTCCTACGACATGTAAGAGATGTCTTCTTTTCTTGCCTCTATAATTAATCCATATCACAGCAGCAGGTCAGTGCAAGAAAAAGGAATCTCCTTGACTAACAGTTGGAGGAAAAAAAAATGGTTCTGAGGTTTTGCATATCAGGTGTCCTTGTGTCCCTTTGCAAACACACAGTGGTTCAGCATGCATTGCATGGGTACTATATGGGTTATTACTAAGGCTATGTGGCTTGTTACCACATTTTATTAAATAAGACTTTGGGACTGAATTCTTTGCAGTCTTAACTCCGCTTCATCTCAGTGAGTTATTCCAGAACTTGACTCTGGCCTGGTTTAGGAACTGTTACCGTAACTCAGAATGCAAAACAGAGGGAAAAACTAAGTGGGAACACTTAGATGTACTTGGGTTTCTTCTTTGATTAGCATCAGTTTGAATCCCACTCTAGGTGCATGTTCTTGATGTGTGTGAGACATGAATTTTTAAGCCTAAGAAAGTTTAGCAGAACTATTTTTAAAGAAAAGAAGCCCGTTTTAGAAAACTGTTTCTTGTTCTGTATAAATGAATAAGGCTGGCATGCTCCTCACTGTTCATGAAGAAAGATTCATAGAGGCTGGGGATAGCCACTGTCTTGGTTGCCAAGGTAATGTCAGTCGATGCTGTCTGTCATTTCAGGTACTGTCAATTAATGAGGAAGGACAAAAGAGGTGTGAGGAGAACACCAACCTTTTTGGCCGCCCTATCACGTTAGTATACATTTAGCTCTGCTAAGACCCCAGCAGGTGTTAATAACCAGGGTGGAAGTAACATTTTAGTCACTTTTAACATATTTTGATTACTTTGCTTATTTTAGTAGGATTTTATCAAAATAAGTAACTAGAATTTTGGGAACTAAGCTGCAGACCTGTGGGGTGGGGGGAAAGTGGGTTGGGGGAGAGCAATAGTGAACTTCATTGTAGATGAATTATGCAACCTGGTACGAGGCAAGGCAGGAAAGGAGTATTTGCTCCTGATTGCATTGCCTAGCTGCTCTGCTACATCTGAGGTGGGCCACGGCCAGAGCCAACCTGAGCAGGGTGCGGGGCCCGGGGCAAATTAGCCTATGTGGGGCGCTGCCTCAATCCCATCTGCCCCAGATGCAAAGAAGCTGCTGCTGCCATTGGCGGCGGTGGTGGTGGTGGTGGTGGGGTAGCAAGCGGCCAGATGCAAAGCCAGTGGCGGCAACATGGAATTGCTACTGTGCCTGGTTCTGCGGGGCCCGGGGCAGTTGCCCCAATTTGCCCCCCACTAGGGACGGCCCTGGCAAATGGCTAGTCTTAGAGACTGTATCAACTGGTTCCACTTGTACAGGATCACTTTTTAACTAATGCATGTTTTAAAGTACTGCCCACATAAAATAACTCTCTAGTGGCATGACCCAATGCCCACATTGTGCCTAGATGATTCTGAATTAGCAGCTGGCCATTTTAGTCAGTGCCTAAACACCTTTAGCCACTTCCAAAATGACCATTGTTCTGGGAGAAGGGAATCCATTTTCTGCTTGTAGAGCCAGTCTTCTGGAGAGGCCCTTGCCCTGAAGTCATCTGCTACTCAAGTGACAGTAGAATTGTTACTGCATTGTAGAAGCCAGTACCCCATTGAGTTACTAAACACGATCAGCTAAAGATTCCTCTGCAATGTGTGTTTCTGATGAATGTGCAGGCTCAATTATGGGACTGTATTGAGGATGAATTAGGTCAGGGCTGTCAAACATGTGGCCCCTGGGTACCACTTTCCCCCTCCCACTGTTCTAGCTGCTGCACCAGGGTCTTCAGGCTCCCACCTCCTCCACCAACTCTGGCTTTAGCTTTCTGCCCCTGCTGCCCCTGATGGCAGGGTAGTGCAGCCTCAGAGCTCAAGAAACCTGCCACTCAGGGGTCAGAGCCCTATGTGGCACAGTGAGGGAGTGCCCACATGGCATGGCATGACGCATGCAGCAAGGGGAGAACCCACACAATGCATCTTGGCAGATAGGAGGTGCTGGCAGCATGACAGAGGGTCCATGGAAGTTGGACAGACTTGAATTAGGTTATTGCTGTGCAGTGAGGACCTCTAATTCTTTGTGTTGCAGATCCTGGACATGTCTGGTGGATTTAGAAGGGTTGAACATGCGCCACCTCTGGCGGCCCGGTGTTAAAGCCCTTCTTAGGATAATTGAAGTTGTAGAGGACAATTACCCTGAGACTCTGGGGAGGCTATTGATAGTGCGAGCACCCAGGGTTTTCCCTGTGCTATGGACTCTGGTAGGTGAAATCTCTGCTGAACAGAAGATGAGAACAGATCCAGTTCTTATCTCTAAAGCTGTGGATCTCCAAAGCTGTGTAGGCTCTGCGCTAGAGAGGGAAAACCCTTTAGATGACTTGACTTGTCAGTGGCCTGAGGAGAGATGAGTATACCTCTTTCTAGAGTTCTAGCATTGGCAGGAAGCAGGCCTTATTGGTGGTTTTTTTTTGGCTTCCTTTCCCACTTCTAATGTTCCACTAAAACTGAGGAGTTTGGGAGCTGAAACACAAGTCCTTTCATAGCACTGTTGCACAGCAACTAACATTTAGGCCAACTTTGGTGTGACTTTGGGTGTGGAGACATTTACTCTGTAATAATTTACCTTGGAATTTACTCTATAATAAAAAAGCAGATGCACAATTAACTCTCAGCTCGCTGCCTGAAGTAGGTGCTATTGCAGCATCTGGCCAGTTGGTGGTGGGAGAGCTGGTTTGGATTGTGCAAATAAAGACATTACGATAGCAGTGGACACAAGAATGCGTGCCAAGGTAGATTTCCCTGGAGTTATATTTATTTTTTACTTCCTCAGAAGTAATTTGCAGTGTTGAACAGCATTTTCTTTGGAGTAAATGCTGTGTATCATGCATCAGCTACATTTTTCCTTGGGAGTAAATTAAGAATACTACAGAGTATGTGTGTCATGTCCCCATCCTTTGTCCTATAGCCACTGTGAGGCTTTTTAAACACTGAAGCTCCTGAAGTTAGTGCTGCAGATGGTTTAAGAGGGTATGATATGCTGCTTTTAAATCCCAGTTAGCACCAAGAACAAAGTATGGACAGCAACTCTGTCTGGGACTTGGTGGCTTAGTTTATGGGTTATGACAGTCGTCTGATAAACCCCAATGCAGTTCAGGAACAGTGTAGGGGAAGGGAAGGTGACTTCTAGCTTAATCCTATAAGGGGAGAAAAATTGTGAGAGGATGTGGAAATGCTTTCATACATTGCTCTTCTTTCTGGATACCACCTTTATGGTTTGTGAGCTTCATGCAAATGCTGTTTGGTGTCCTTGTCAACTAGGTTGTCCCAACTGAGGTGCTGGGAGCACTTTGTAATGTGGTGTGGTATATTGTCTGTTTCAGTCAGTGGCTTACAAATGTGTTCTGTCCATATTTGTTTCAGGTTAGTCCCTTTATCAATGAGAACACCAGACAGAAGTTCCTCATTTACAGTGGCAATAACTACCAGGGTCCTGGAGGGCTTGTAGACTACCTGGACAAAGACGTGATCCCAGACTTCCTTGGAGGAGAATGCATGGTAAGTTTCCTTTACTGTAGAGCAGTGATTCTCAGCCACAGTGCCTTGAGATTCTTTCAGGGGTGCCAGGAAATGTTAGCATTGTTAGGTGCATAAACATGATTCACAAGAGAAACCCAGAGATTTCCAATATGAATCCATAGTGTTAAAACTATTCTAACCTGCTGCGGTCTTTCTGAGTTCTTTGCAACAGAAGAACTGCTTGATTATTTTTCTGTAGTTAAATAAATGCAAATGGTGGCCTTGAGTCTAAGTGGGCCCTTGATTCTAACGAGATTGAGAACCACTGCTGTAAAGTAATCTGGAAATATTCCATCCTCCTGGAGCCCTTACTACTTTCACACAAAATGTTCCAGGCCTGACCCAGGCCACACTGTGCTGAGAGCTGTACAAACAGAGATGATCCATGCCCTAGGGACCATAGCTTTGGAGTGGTGGTAATGCTAGAGAAGCTTTATGAAGGGCAGTAAGTTAGATGTTTTTTCTCTTCTGTTCTTATAACTAGGGATCCTGGCTTTCTCCGTATAAAAATCCCAAATTCTCTGATTGAAAAACCCTGATGTTTCACAATTAAAATGAAATGGCACTAATATATATATATATATATATATATATATATAT